TTCTTTTTGACAATGTATGCAACACCACTGCTCTTTAATTTTTCATTCCCAGAACAGTAAACCATTTGGTTGTCAGATTCTAAATGGCCAATACCAGTCCATTTCAGTTCACTAGTGCCTAAGATATTGATGTTTACGTGTTCCATATCATTTTTGACAATATCCCTAGATTGATACTTCATACATTCCATGTTCTGATTATTAATAGATGTTTACAGCTGTTTGTCTTCATTTTGAGTTGTGCCCCATCAGCAAATAAAGGTCCCGAGGGCTTTATTCCCACCAACTTTATTCCACTCATATCACCATGGTCAACTGTAGTTTAAGGAAGAAGCTTTTCCCAGTCACATTTTGAGTGCCTTCCAACTTGAGGGGCTCATTTCCTGGCACTATATCTTACAGTGTTTCTCTGCTATTCTTAAGGTTTTCAGTGACTAAATATCCAGAAGTAGTTTGTTTCTCCTTCTTCCTATTCTATCTTTTTCTGGAAGCTCATCTGAAACCTGTCCATCATCAGTGACTCTGCTGGTATTTAAAATACCCATGGCATAGCTTCCAGAATTACAGCAACTTACAAGCCAACACAGTACAACAAACTGACAGACAGTTAAGAAGACTGAGGTTTAGAGTGTTAGAAGCTTACTAGGGTAGCTGGTCTAGAATCTAAAAATTGGAATTTCTTATTGTAAACAAGGGCTCTTAACCACTGTGCTCTACTTTTCTGTATAATACACTGAATAACTAGTTAAACTTTTAATTGTGACAAAAATGTGGGTATTGTCCAAAACAGAAACAGAGAATAAGCAAAAGATCTTTTTTTTTTTTTTTTTTTTTTTAAAGAGAGAACAGCCAAAGACTAACCCAAGAGAAGAAAAATGGATCAATGAGGCTAAATATTTAGCATCACTGTCATCTTAAATGCCTGGTACTCTTTCTTTTCTGCATAACTTTAAGGAGAGCATTTTTCACATCTTTATTCCTGAGACTATAAATGAGTGGATTCAGCATGGGGATTACAATAGTATAAAAAACAGAAGCTACTTGGTCTTTTCCCAAGGAGTAGGACCTACTGGGCTTTAAATAAGTAAAAATCATAGTACCATAGAAGATAGTGACTCCCAGGAGATGGGAGGCACAGGTAGAAAAAGCTTTTTGCTTTCCTGATGTTGAATTTATTTTCAGGATAGTAGAGAGAATGGACACATAAGACACAAAGACTGTGATGAGAGATGCCACTAGGGTGGAACCAGCAAGAATGAATATTATGATCTCAATGTTATGTGTATCAGTGCAGGAAAGGGCTAATATTGGTATTGTGTCACAGAAAAAGTGGTGGATTACATTGGAGTTGCAGAAATGCAAGTTGTTCATGACAACCACAATGATAATGGAGTCAAGAAAGCCAATCACGTAGGCTGCAGTGGTGAGGGAGCAGCAACGTACAGTGGACATAATAACTGGGTATTGTAGAGGGTTGCAGATAGCGACATAGCGGTCATAGGCCATTGAAGACAGAAGACAACATTCAGTGGCAGCCAAGGAGATAAAAAAATACATCTGGGTAAAACAACCTCCATATGAAATAAATTTCTTTGCAATCAGTAAGTTCTCTAAAGCTTTAGGGGTAATGACTGTTGAGTAACTGAGATCAATAAATGACAGGTGACTGAGGAAAAAATACATGGGGGTGTGAAGCTGTGGATCCAGACGAATTATTAGAATCATCCCTGCATTCCCCAGCACAGTAATCAGGTATATCAGGAGAAAGAGATTAAAGAGGACCACCTGGATCTCTTCAGAGTCTGTCAATCCCACGAGGATGAAGTCAGACACATTTGTGTTATTCCATCTCTCCATAGTGTGCAAGTTCTCTAAACTGTAGGAGATTAAAGTTGATATTTTACATCACTAATTTCTTACTGATCATTTTGTGTTTGAATGACCTGACATTTAAAAAACATAGTTTTCTCTTTCTGGAAATTGATAATTAAAAGTCTTTTACAAAAGATGACTGAACAGAATCTAAATTTTATTGTTTGATATAAATGTGGTTATACGATGTTATTGGGCATTTTATAATAAAAAGTAACATGTATTATTTAATATGGATTAAAATACTAGTATCTCAGTTCTTCCCTTTGTTAAGAATTTTAATTTCCAGAAAATATCATACAATAAGTATGATTGTTATCTATTCTTTCAGGTAAGAAAATTGGCAAGAATTTTAAGTAATTTTAAGTAACACATTCAAAGCCAGAGCTAGTGTGTGAAATAACTCTTAGGATGGTTCATCTTCAGGACTGAGGGGATTCCAGGTGATAGCAGACTAGCATTACAAAAGAAGCTCATGGAAGGGGAAGAGGCTTGTCTGACACCTACTAGAAACTTTAAAATAAGAATACACCATCAAGGAAATAGGGGAACCTGATGGAGAAACTGACTTTAAATGAGAATGCTGCCATCAAGTACAAATAGGCACCATCAGGGCTAGATTGCTAACCCCATACTACTCAGCCAAGAGGAACAGAGGGAGGAACCCTCAAGACAGGGGAATAAAAGTCTTTGTGAGCTGACCATGCCTCACATCTACCTGTGTCTACTGGGTCTGACATCCAATTTTTTAAAATTGAATAAACAAGCCCCATTTTCACTAAAATGAGTACAGATTGGATTCTTTGAGCTTTCGTTGGTAAGCATCTGTGATAACTCATCAATAACTTCATATGGGATCAGTCTTTCCACCCCAGTTCTCCCTCAGGAGTTCCATCTGGGTAAGATCCTAGTCAGGGATTTTAAGTTGATCAACTAATGTCTAAGAGGAGCCGAGGCAGTGTCTGGGATATTAATAATGTTTCTCACACTAGTACATGTTTCTCAGTGAATCTACCATGTTAGGCTTATTGCAAAAAGCAAACCAAAACACTGTATTCTTAATCATAATTAATGTCAGCAGAAGAAACATTTTAAATGTGTAAGCAATGATATGCAATAGTTTTTATGAAGCTTTTTATTGTCAATTGAGTGAAGGTTTACAGACAAGTTCATGAGTTTTACAGTCAACAAATCATACACTGTTTCATCTCAGTGATTGCAATCCTCTCCATGCAACAAAAGTTATCCCCCTGCTTCCCTAAGGTTCCTATTTTCATTTCACCCATGTTTCCATCCCTTGTCATCTTTGTCCTAAGGTAAATGTTGGCCTTTTGGTTTTGAATGATTTATCATTCCATGGTAAGCATACCTTGCTAGTATTTTTGTCCTACTATCTACTGCTTGGCTGAAAACTGGGCTAGAAGGGAAAGAGGGAAGGAAGAGTAAGTCACTAGATAGAGAATAAATACATGTTAATTCTGGTGATGGTAGACTGACAGATAAATCATTAAGACAGATGAAAATGCAGGGAGGTTTGCAATGGCTAAAGGGATAGAGGTAAATAGTTATATATACACAACAGTGTTCCATAGGAAAGGTCTAGAAGGAAGAGTTTGATTGTATCCGCAAATATGCATGGGTTTGAAAGAGGATGTTTAGACATGAGTGTTTACCTTTTCTGCAAACACAATTATGAATGTGATGGATCATACAGTGGGCAAAGCAATGAAAACTTAGATATTATCAAACACCTTAAGGCAATGAGTTTCTTGACCTGGGGGACCATAGTCTCAGGGGACACCATAGTCAATTGGCGTAATATAGTCCACAAAATCATATTCTACATCCTTATTTGATGAAAAGAAGTTATGACATGAAAGTTAATCTAAGGCACAACTACTGGTCTCTCCATATGCAGAAGATAGAAGAGGGATGTGTATTGAAGATGCTTGGTATCCTTAGTCCAATGGACTAATGAAACATATGAACATCATGCTCCATTATTTTGAGACCAAAAGACCTAGATGATGTCTGGCAGTGTGCCAAAAAGGATAACATCAAGTCTCAGATAAAGTGGCAGAAAATATAGAACAAAACTCAAAATTGCAAATAAAAGTCAGGCTTATGATCAGACATAGTCTGGAGGAGCCTGAGACTATTACCCTCAACCACCCTTCAGAGGTAGATAGGTACATAGGTACACCAACAACATAAATATGCTCACCATGGAATTCTCAATAATTCAAAGTAAAAAAGGCCACAGGTGGGTGGTGGGTGGAATGAAAATAAGAAGCACAGAAAGGAAATGGGATCACTGTTATTGCCTGGAGGGGACTGAAATCATTGAGCTGAAACAAAGTGTATGGTTTGTTGAATGTAAAACTGATGATCTTGTTTATAAACCCACACTCAATTCACAATAAAAGCTTTTAAAAGTAGATAGCATAATGAAGGATGTTGGTGGTTGTTTTGTGCCACCGAATGGGTTCTGCATGACAGTGGCTCTGCAATAGGGTTTCTAAGGCTATAATCTTTACTGGAGCAGAAAGTCTTATCATTCTCTCGAAGAGCAACTGGTAGATTCAAAGTGCTGACCTTGCAATTAATGGTCCAGCTAGTAATCCACTATGCTATCAGGGATCCTATCATGAAGGATAGGCAAGTATCAAATGAAGTCCAGTAATGCAGGCATTATACTTAACTGTGATATTTTTAAGGAGTAACCAAGCAGATACCAACAAATTCATATTTACCTTGCAATTATCCCATAGGTTGTTAGAAACCTCTATGGAATTTGTTAACAGCCTAAATATACCCAGTTGCCATTTATTTTAATAAATGGAACCAGAATGAAAGAATAATGAACTTTAGATGGTGACAGGGTGTCCTACCTAATTCTGTTCTTTAGAGCTTTCCAAGAAGAAAAGTCTCAACTCTTTACCACTTTTTACATCCACCTGTTATTAAGGATGGGAAAGAGATAAAAGGAAAGAAAGACTCAACATTCTAAAATATTATTGTTTCTTTGGGGTTTTTCTTTTCTTTTGGTGTTCTATCAAAGCGTACCTCAGGTGTTTTACAAAGTAATATTGCACCTTCCTAATTACTAGGAAACATTGGTTTCAGCTCCTTAAACCTATAAATTGATATCAGAAGATCAATATAAAAAAATACAATATCAAGTTGCGCTGGTATATTTCTATCTTGCTTGTTGTTGCTATTATTGTTATGTGCTGTCAAGTCAATTCTGAGTCATAGCAACCCTCTATATGGTAATGAGGAGCAGCTGGTGAGTTTAAACCACTGACCTTGTGGTTCAAACCAAACTTGAGGTCGAGCACTTATTCTACAGTGCCACACTAGGATTCCATTTCTATACTAAAAACTTCACACTAGATTTATCACTGAGACCATACAGTCCTTGCATTGGCTCTCAGTAGACTATGTACAGTTATGTGCTGCATGTAAACATGTCTAAATAATTATAGATTAACACATCAATAAGAAATACATTATTTGAAAAGCAGAACAATAATAAATTATTATATCATTGTTTCCAATTTTATGAAAATGGAACAAACTTATGGTTTCAAT